TAGATATAATATAATGTATTCGTGTTGGAATCTGAGGCCGCAAAGTAGACCGACTTTTACCGAATTGAAACAAAGTTTAGACAAATTGCTCAGTAATTATTCGGAAAATAAATACTTGAATCTGTGTGAAGTTCTACAAGAATCAGCTGATGAAATTAACGAGGCAAGATCGCTCAATGCATGTTAAATAGAATTAAAATAATAGTATAATAATAATAGATAAGAGCACAAGTACATTAACTAACTCGTCAAATCGAATGATTCAAAGAATTTGTATCATGTGCAAAATCGTTTATTTTCTAATCATACGTATGATAATCTGTGATAAAATCTTTCCTATACATATGTACGTATTTACAATATATTGCTCACAATTTTAAGAACTTTGTGAGATAAAATACATCAACTTAACTAAGGCTCTTTCATTCGCAATTAAATTAACAAATTGTTTATACACGATACGGTGCATTTTAATTATTATAAAAAAAGAGGTGTTGCTCAAACGAGGTCTAAATGTAAAGATATCTAAAAAATGCTCCTATGTGTCCCTTTTTTCTTTTTTGACGATTTTTCTTTAGATAATGTCTGTTATATAAATGTTTTTTTGGAAATTTTGCCATTATGTCTATAAATGTCCATAAATGGATATTAATGAAGTCTTTTTTATAATATTATCAGATGTTATTGCTTTTTATATAATTTTCGAGGAGTCCCTGTTAATTAAAACTTAGAATTCTTCCTCGAAAAATCTGAGAATAAATAAATCAGCAAATAACCTGTTCAGTAATAAATATTCTGCAATTTTTGGCGATTTGAATAGAACTCTATCTTGTATGATTGAAAAATATTAGAAAGGTCGTAGAAAAATTGACATATATTTAGATAATTATAATGATATAAATAGTATATATATTTTTAATATTAAAGTATACATAGTAATGTATATTTCAAGATAATAAATAGCAAGTATGACATCCAAAATTCAAGATACGTTTAAATCGCGATGGTTACCAAGCATACAATTGAAAATACCTTCTGATTTAAAAATATGATATCATCTCAAAAAAATATGTACATTGTAAAAATGTTTTGCACAAATAAGTATAATATTATACTTTTCAATCAAACTTTTTATTCTGATAATGATAACTTTAAGAAAAAAGATTAGCTTTTTCATTATGAATGAATAGATAGGGATATTTTCCAATTCTTTAATATATGTTAATTTTTTTCATAGTTTTTAATCTTTTTCTCTCACAAGAATGTGATCAATTTTGTATAAGTACATTTTATATTTCTGACTGCTTGGAATGAAAATGTGTTTTTACAGTGGCGAGACTTAGAATGTACCACCATCTTTCATTATATGTATATGTCACAATTAACATGCTATCACAGAGAAAGTTGTTGCATTACTACATATGAATTCTTGTTGGTTTTCTTTTTTTTCTTTTTTTGATTTTACTGCAAATTATTACATAACCCTTACTCATAGCTCTTTTGAAAATTTTTACATGTAAACTTAGGTTAATCTAGTTAAAAAATAAACATTTTATAATATTCCATATCATACATATATAGATATTTCTAAAGATATGAGAAGTGGTTAAGATAGACATATTTCTTCATATAGTATATTAATTTTTCCTTAATAAAAATTCAAGTAAAGATGTAATTAAGCTTAATTAAGCTTAAAAGTTGGACTACAAAACTTAGTCGGTTATATATAGATGTGAAAACATGATTGTGTCAAAACCAGAAAACAAAATAACTTATAATAATGTTATTCTAAGCTAAGCTTAATTAACAGATAATTATTCCTTCACTTCGATTTTTTAAATAGAAAAAAAGTCGATTCTTTGAATGCACCTCAAGCAATACTATCGAATTATATTTTTGTTTCTTTAAATACCCTGCGCAGACAAACTTACAAATATAAATCCGTTTACCAGAAATGTAACGAAATGTCACATTACACAATGCTGCTGAGTATAAGATAAAAATTTGTCCGAAAACTTGTTTGATATAATAAAGTGTATTATAATTTATCTATATATCTATACTTGCGTTATCTTAAAAACTGACAATTTAAGTTTTATAATTACATTACACACTACGACTCATATATAAATGTAATGAAAAAGAACGAAATATATTATATGATCCTATAATATAAAGATTATACAGCAAAAACAATATTTGATTAATAAATTTCTTTCTTTAAGAAGCCAAAAATCACAGACAATGTAGTCTCTATATCGGTGTTTTATTTACCGATAGGAATCTCTCACACACAGTACTGACATCCCCTCACTGTCTTTTGCATCACTTACGATGCTACCTATATCAGATGCTATCATTTCTATTAATTAAATTATCTTCTTTGTCTACCGGTGGTGGACCCGCGGTCAAAGTTGCACTTGGCCCTGCTGTTAAGTAGCCAGCAGATACAGGCGTTGCAGCTAATAACAATCGAACAGTAGAAAATTTTAATTAGCGAAAAATATTTATTTTTATACACGTTAAAATTATTGGTTAAAAGCTATTGATATATTTTACCTGTAAGGTAACCAGAACTGGTATTGTTAGAAATGAACAGATCATGCCGTTGATCCTTATACTCGGCCCACACGCTCGACTTTTCCAAAATAGCATTGACTTTTTCACCGAGAAGTAAACTTTTCGTCATGGCTTTTAAAGCTTTTACTATTTGTGCTTTAGTCGTGGCAGGATTCTCAACAATATCTAATCGTCCTTCTAATATATTTAAGAGATATGGTACCATTTCGGCATCTAATGCCTATATGTAGTAACAAAATATTGTATCTAATATTTCTGAACATGGTATTATAACGTATAATTACACGAACGCTTTTCACACATGCCCACCTGCTTAATAAGTCTATCTTCATTTGTCGAAAATAACCTGTTCAATGTTTCGCATGCCACTGCAATCATGTCTCTCCTCGATTGCATTGCATGCTTTAACGGGCTTATGCAATCTGTCTGACATATGGACGAGATACAAATCTATGCAAGTATAAATCGAAAACAAGAATTAGAATTGTAACCATAATTATCATACACGCGCGCACACATACGTACAAAATCAAAAGCACTTACTTCGCTCGTAGCTAACTGATGTAGAATTAATATAGCTGTTTTATATACCGATGGCTGACTATTCTGAACAGCCATCTGTCGACAAAGTCGTGGTATATGTCCCAAGGATGGTACTTGGTCTGCCAAAATAGGTTGTGCTTGGAGTAGACACACGAGGGCCTGGGTCGTTAATTCCAACATATCCGTCTAGTTGTAAAAATATAAATGCACACAACAAATACATATTGATACAAAATTTCTAATATGTTTTAATATTAATCCATTTTATAACATTTACATCAGTCTTTTCCTTGGACATCAGTGTTAATGTAGTATCCATCAGTTCACTTAAGAATTCTTTTGGTTTCCTAAGCGCCCAAGCAGGACTGGCTATGAATAATCTAAGATATACTCCACCTACGACAGGTTCGTTGGTCGCGATGTCGATATTATTCTGCGTATCAGGTAACTTTAATATGGCATTAGGATTCCGTCTCTGTAATGCATGGTATCTAAAAGATAAAAAACAGAATTAATTTCACATTGCTAAAAAGAAGAAAAGAAACGAGAACAAGATACATCGCAATTTTTGTAAAGCTTACTCGTCTTTTAACTCGGCAATAATTCTTGCTACTCTAGCTTTCGCATCATCGTCCCATATCAATTCAGGATTTTCGTGCTTTGTTTCAAACATGTGTACACATTGCTTAGGGGCATCGCGAATAGCTTCACTGAATAATCTAGGCAAAAATTTCGATAAATCAAGTTTAACTTTTGGTCCGGCTAATTTGTCGGATGACATCTTCGCGAGCAACTCAGCTGCTGCTTCTCTTATTTGAACATTACTCGAATTACAAAACAGATCGAGAATATACACAACAGCTCCTGAAAAATATTATAAATACATTAGATCTGAATTATATTGAAGAGCCTCATCAATATATAGAAATGTACTTTCTAATGTCTACATTCTCTTCGTATATTCAACTATATCTTTTACAAACCTTTTGCTAATGCATCTTTTACGATTTTAGTCGAACTCATCAGTGCATATAAAGTTTCTAACGCAAGAAGCTGACATTCCTTTAGGCTGTGCAAACATAACAATAAATGCACTACAACTTCATTCGCGGCTATATCATCAACACATTCTTGATTTTTGGTAACATTACTGATTATTTCTAAAGCGCTCTTTTGAATTAATTTAAAATTATTACAATTCAAAAGTCCGAATAGCAACTTAAAGTGCCCCATACACTGTAATTCAATTCCAGGATTATTTTTAATAACATTATTCAATGCTTTAAGCGCCATAACAATGTGTTCCAACTTCTCTTGATCTTTTTTACTTAGAGGAATACTTCTCAAAGATGTCAAGTATTCCGAAGAGAACAATAGAAATTCGAGCAAATTTATCGTAAAACTCTTTGGATTCTGAAAATCAAATAATAGCTCTTTTAGATTACTTTTATCATCTATCTAGAACGATTATTTTAAGCTAATGTGTAAGTTCTCTATAGTTTATTCTATAGTCTTATTTCTAAAAAACAGATTAATTTACCTCAATTGGATATACTGGTTGTTCATTATATATTTTCACAAATATTTCACCAATTACTAATTCATCGGCATGAGCGGTATACTTGAAATCACTAAAATCATGTTCAAAGTTATCACTATTATTTAATCTCTCTTGCTGTTTTGCTTCTAAATATTCATTTAATTCCGCTCTAGTTCCATTGTCCCAGATCAAATATGGATTTGAACAATTAGAATTTAATATCTTTAAAATCTCCTCAGGTTTATCTTTAACAAGCTGACGTGCTAGATAGGGCGTTAACAAGCTTTCTAGGGCGGCAACGGTAACGGGATTAACGGGCGTCTCGTTCTCTCCCTTCATGTAACCGCCTAATCTAGCACAAGCGCGAACTGCCAATTTAGCTAAATTATTAGCCACTTCCTGACGATTCTCATCCTGATTTCTTTCCACGCCGCCTTCCTCTAACGTATAATCATAGTTAAACATAAAGAGCAACAGATCCCACAAAGCACCAGATTGTAATAACTGCATTTGTAATATACTATCTGTAGCGAGAGATGAAATACATTCCGTGGCAACTGCACATAATTTCGTTAAATGCTGTAAAGAAAAATAGGAAATCAAGATTAAAATACATTCTTGCAAACAAATGAATTAAATAAAAAGTTATTCTGTAATTGTAAAAATACTTTTGCAGATACCTTAAAATGCAATATTCTGCAAAGG